TTTAAAAACTTTAATGCTAAATAACTTCTGATATACTAGTCCATTTTGAATGATTTTATTCCCAAAATGTTCGTCTCCTTGAGACGATTCCAACGAGCCCAAAATCATTAAAATCTAATTACAGGATCGTGAGATAATGTGCTGTCAAATAGTGACGCACCTGAGAGTGAGGTTGATTGGTTAGATATAGAACTAACCAATCAACCCTATACTCTAGGTGCGTCACTATTTGATAGCATATTATCTCACGATCCTGTGATTAGATTTTAATGATTTTGGGCTTGTTGGAATTGTCTTAAAAAGACAAACATTTTGGTAATAAAATCATTTAAAATAGACTAGTAGATCAGAAATTATTTAGCTTTAAAGTTTTTAAAAAATATACTCTACTTATAAATTCTAAAAATTGGCCCATATGATATTCTACTTGTATGACAACTATTGTCTTTTATCGATCGGTTGGAATAGGATCTTTGTAACTTTGGTGATACTAACAAGATTAGAAGATCACAGAAGCATTTATGCAATATAGAAGTTATACAAAGGCATGCAAATTGGCTTTAAACAGTGCAAATCCAAAATAGGTTCTTATAATTATATAAATCCAAGGAACCAGAAAAACAAATATTGTTTGACAAGACCTGAGTAGAGAAGTAGTATAAACTTTCAATAGTAACTACTAGAGCAGCTTCATCTGAGGCTAGTTAACTGGACAAGGCAAGAGTATTGGCAAGTTATTCCACTAACCAGGCTGTCAAGAATGCAGATTATCTGCATTCTAGAGGAAAAGGTTTAACTTGTTAAAATAGTCAAAACCATGGAACTGAGGTGATCCCTCTAGGCTATTTAGATTGGAAGTCTAGAGAGATGAACTAGAAGATATAGATAGGTAAAGTTCTGAATATTAGGAAGTTTTGATAGAAAGGTATTGGAGTTTGGTGAATTCTACAAGAGCAAAGGATCAAAGACTAGATTGGCTGAATTGTAGGTATAAAAAACTCTAGCAGGTTTACTATGAGAATAAAATTGTTCTAAGGTCATAATAAATATTAGTTTGAGGTTATGTATATAAAAATATATGTATAGTTGATGCAAGACTGATACTGTAAAAGTAACCTGTTAAATATAAATAAAAGTACTGACCAAAGAAGTCATCTTAACACTGAAAAAAAAATTTTCTAAATTATGTAAATTATTATATAAGTTATAATGTAAATTTACAACTCTAGGCATGATATATATTTATTTTTACTTAGCAAATATATTATAACTTTATTAGTAAAATTTTTAAATATTATAATGTAAATTTACAACTCTAGGCATGATATATATTTATTTTTACTTAGCAAATATATTATAACTTTATTAGTAAAATTTTTAAATATTTAATTATTTCTTATCTAAATAATCAAGATTCTATTTTATTCTAATTTAAAATTTTCTATATAATTCTATTTCTACAAGTATATAAATTATAACTAGAATTAATTAAAATCAATTTACACAGATTTATTTTTAATGCTATTCACTATTATGGCAATAATATTTGAATAGATTTTATAATATATAAATACTAAAAAATACTAAAGTTCTATTTTTATTGCACGTGGATACTAGAAGATGATCTATTGGCTAGTTGGTTATTGTTACGGCTGATGCTAATGCTGATTTTTGGGGGTCTCAATTTTGATCCATTACATTTACTAAAACCCACATATACTCTTTGATTAACAATTCTAACCCTAAATTCTAGTCCAACTATTAAAAAAAAGGCACCCCAAAAAATTATAAAAATTTGTATTACAATAGGCGTATTGCAATGCCCTTTCGACTCAGCCTATCACTGGTTACACAAAGTTTTGTATTGTGCCGTTTTAGCCTTCTCAATATAGTAAGGGTAAGAGCATGCATGATAACAATAAGAGATGCATGCTTCAGCTTGGGGCATGCCCTGAGATTTTATCGTGCCATACTGTATATGTAATTCAGAGCGTCGGTTATTTCTCAAATAGCACCGGAGATATTACCATCACATAACTAAATAAATTTTATCGAATTTAGCTTGGTTGTTTTTGTGATATCACTAAAACTATTTTAGAAACGGTTGAACATTGCATGTAGTCAAAAAAAAAAAAAAATTGTCTTGATTTCTCTATAACTAATCAATAAATAATTTTCACGGAAATTTATTGATTGGTTATAAGAAAATCTTTAAAAAAACTTTATTTCTTTAATAGGCGTCCGTGGAATTATACTGGACATTATTCGTCAACACGACAAAACACAAGTCCGATGTCGGACTTTTAAATCCTTAATGATTTACATTCGTCAACACGACAAACCACAAGTCCCCGATGTCGGACTTTTAAATCCTTAGTTATTTACTTAGTTGGATAAAATCTTTTGTTAACGTTAATACGTAATTATATTATGGGTTGATCATATACATATGTAAAATTCGATTATCGCACTAACGCTAATTCCAAAGAGCGATAAACATCTCCGGAGCGCCATAGTTGGTTGACATAAATCTAAAATAATCATGTACACACCTTGTTTAAGTCTTCTACATCTAATATAACCCGAACAGAGTAAAGCTTGTTTGAATATGCAATTGCTCCAGAAATGGAATTAATGGAAATCATTTATCTATGAGCTAGCATTCCTAAACTACTTTGTTGTTTTTATAAAAGCAATTAAGTTCGCAAATATATAAATATTTCGCAGAAAGTCATTTTAAAATTAGAATTAGACAGTATTACTATACAGGTTTGTTGGCGAAGCGGAATTCGAATACATGTTTTATATTTGGCTTAGTATCTATCGTTATATGGCTTCGGAACCTTTGATTATTTATTGGAATTATATTATTGAATAGATGCATTATTCGTAATATAACTTTTGTTATACAATATTACGATTTTTTGGAATTCACATTCAAATGTTAATTTTTTATTAATATTATATATTATATCAAAATGGTTAAATATCGAATTTGAATTTAAGAAATTGTGTTCCCGGATCCATATAACGGTAGATGTTGACCCATTTAATTTACTACAACTAATTCATAAATACTTTATTTAGTAAATATAAATCAATCATGGTGCCAAAAGAGAACAATTCACTCCAAGCCATGGAGGACTTTTGCAAATGTATGGACCAGTGGGCTGATGGTGAAGGAGACCCTCGTCGACATGCCTTTAATCTTGGACAATTACTCCTAAAAGCAAATCCAAATTCTAGGAGCAGAGATGGATCCACTCGTGGTATATTTATTATCGGTGACCAAAGTTCAGCTAAATCTACCACCGTAAACAGTATTATCAAACAAGTTGCGCTACAAATGGGTAATAATACTGTCACTAAAGTCAGAACATGGATTGAACATCGGTACGATCCGGATTTAGAGCATGCAGAGTACGACTTACTAATACAAAGAAAAAGAGGAAGTGAACCACTCCTTCATGGTGGTACTCTACAGGAACTAACCGAAAAGTTCACTCGAATAAATAATAATATGGATGATACGGTGGAAGCTCGAATTATCATTCATTCCGACATTCCGTCATTTGCAATAGATTGTTGTGATAATCCGGGGCTTACGCCAATAAATGAAAGAACGCAAACGATCACCGACAATATTACACGCCATACGCTGGAAAGGGTTTTGGAACGTCAAAAATCAAACAATGATAGCATCGTGGTGTTATGTGTTTCGTCACTGTTCTTTGAAAATGCATCTTGGCCACGTCATATGGATTTAATTGAACAAATTAATGGCAATAATTTGATTGTTCTTGTAACAAGGATGGATCAACTCAACATTGGCAACGTTGCTCAGGAGATTCGAGACGATGAAGATAGCAATTCTGAAGATAACCACTCTGAGCTTCTTCGCTGCAGCCCTTGGGACATCCTCATGCATATTCGCTCAAAGATTGAACGTCAAACTGGTTCCCGTTCCTTTCCAAATGGCGTGCAGTTTCATTTTGCGGCATCCAGTAGTGTCCGTTGGGATGTTTTAACAGGGCCTGATGGGTGGGATGCGTTTGTAAAATCAGAAGCAGATAACGATAAAAAAATGCGTGAAATTCTCGGTGTATGCGACAATGAAACGAAGTACCTGCATAATGAACAAGCATGGCGTGAACATGGTATTGAATTGATTCCAATGGATCTGAAACAACAATCAGACTTCAATGACTGTGTCGGGATGGCAAAACTAGAGGAAAAATTACTCCAAACGTTGCATGTTCATATTATAAAAGCTGCTGAAGAACTTATGGATTATACTTCTGATTGGAAGAGAGATGCAAAAATGAGCCTAGATAATGTAACAAAGCGTATGAAACTTCCTGATGATCGAGCAGAATTGATCTCTGAGTTTTGCAAACAGTTTATATTAGTTTATCAGACCCTTTTTGCTTCGCCATTGTATTCACCAACAATTAACGCTGACCCTTGGTTGAAAGAATTTGGAGAAGCAATCAAGAAGGGACAAGAAAATAGTGTAGGATACGGGTGGACATCTAAGGATATGTGGGAAATCTTTGAAAACCTTAAAGACAGCGATGGATACGCTGAGTTTCCACCCCAAGAGTTTTGTGACACAAGCTTTAATTCCTACATGGAAGATATTGATAAATACGTAAAACCTGCTAACGATTGTTTATATACAGCACAAATGTTATTACAACGACTAACACAGGAATATACCATGCGATCCACTTTGATTCATTTACGTGATCTTGATGTCAGAACATTTATTCCACGTCAAGTACAATTGAGAACATCAACCCAATTGAGTTTCGGTCAAGCTGTCGATCAAAAGATCAGCGAAGACTACAACCAGATTTTTCATAAGCATGAAAAAAGGAATTCTGGCGGTCATCGTTCACATGAGATACATGGAGGTAACCAATGGGTATCTGTACTTGGAGCTTTGTGTCTATTACTGCATGCGGAATATACTATTCGTATTATGCGCGATACTCGATTCTCTTCTTTGTTGCAAGCACAAAGTGACGATCCAATGCATGGTATTCTTGTTTCTAAGTTTGAACGATACTGGAGGTTGAGAAAAGAAAATTTAATGAGGAAAGAAAACTTTATGGACCAGCAGCGTGAACACAGTGCAGAAAGTCAAATTGCGACAATTATGAAGAATATTAGAGAAAAATCAAATTCTAAAAGATTTTCTTCAAATAAGAATAAAGTATCACCAATCGAAGATCTGCATTTAAATATGGATAAGTTTTTTTATTGTTTGTTCTTTTTTTTATATTTTCATATATTTATTTTTATTTTTATTTTTTAGATAGATCTTTGATATCATTTTTAGAGATTCTTTTCAGCTTTTTGAAGTAGATTTTTGAAATAGTTTATATTGGTCTCTTGGTAAGTTTTTTTTTGTTTTTTTTTTGTGTTCACTTTTGTTTTAGATGCTTTTGTATTTACTCTTGTTTTAGATATTCTTCCAGTAGATTTACTGGAGGTTTTTCAAATTTGCGTCATTCTTTAGTAAGTCTTTTTTTTTTCTTGCTTCAATTTTTTTCTGTTTCTTGTATTCTGGATATTTCTTGTTTAGGTGTTCTTCTAGTGGACTTGCATCATTTTCTTTGTCTTTCTCTGGTAAGTCTTGCTTTTTATTTTTTCTTGGTGTTTCTTGTATTTATTTTTTTCTTGATGTTTCTTGTACTTATTTTTTTCTTGATGTTTTTTGTTTTAGGCGTTCTTCAGTAGGCTTGTATCATTTTTTGGTGATCTTTTTTGAATTTGTATCATTCTCTGGTAAGTCTTTTTTGCCTTTTTTTCTTGGTGTTTCTTGTACTCACTACTAATTTTCTTTCTTGTATTAGGCAGTTTCCAGTAGATTTGCGTCATTTTCTGATGATTCTTCATCAAATTTGCACCATTCTTCAGTAAGTCTTTCTTTTTTGTTTCTTGGTGTTTCTTGTGTTTTTTTTTTTTTATATGTTTCTTGTGCTTATTTTTTTTCTTGATATTTTTTTGCTCACTACTAGCTTTTCTTTTTGTTTTAAGGCGTTCTTTTAGTAAACTTAATGTTGTCATTTCTGGTGATTTTTTTGTTGAATTTCATTATTTCCTGGGGAGTCTTGTTTTTTTTTTTTGTTCTTGATGTTTCTTGTATTCACTACTAACTTTCTTTTTTATTTTAGACATTTTTTCGGTGGACTTAGCGTTGTTGTTTCCTAGTGATCTTTGTTGACTTTGTATCATTTTCTGGTAATTCTTCGTTAACTTTGCGTCGTTTTCTGGTGATTTTTCATCGACTTATATAGTTTTTTGGTTAGTCTTGTTTTGTTTTGTTTCTTTCTTTATGATGTTTCTTGTGTTCACTACTAATTCCTTTCTTGCTTTAGGCATTCTTTTGGTATTCTTGTCTTCAGGTGAACCTGCGTTGTTTTTGGGAATTCTTTGACAGTTTGTATCGCTCTTTGGTGAGTTTTTTTTTTTTTTTTTCTTAGTGTTTTGTGTTTATTAATTTTCTTTCTTGTTTAAACATTTTTATGGAGTCTCTTTTCTTGGCGATTTTGGATTCTCTTGCACATTTTTATAATCTTTATTAACTTTTTTTTAGACATTAAGTTTTTTCTGGTGTTTTTTTTTTCACTGATATTGAATTGTCTAATTTTTTTTTTCTTTGGATTTTTTTTTTTTCTCTTTTTATTAGTATTATTAATAAATATCATCATTATAATGTAACAGTTTAGTAATTGTGTTATATGAATTAATAACTCAATAAATTGCTCATCGATTTATATTAACCAATCATGTTGATATCATGTGTTTAGCGCTGTCACTGGTGGTGACAAATAAATTCACTCTATATTTATTATAGAATATATTCTTAAAAACATATTTTAATAACCCTGGATTAGATAGCGTAGTGATTAGCACTCTGAAATCGCACTCACAAAGTCGCCAGTTTGAGTCTAGTAGATGACAAAAACTGTGTTAGAACCATGTGTGTTAAGGATCTATGATGAGGAACTGTATTTCTTTCTATTTACAAACAAGGTACTACAGTGATAAAAGAGTTGCATGACATAGTCACTTAAATTATACGATACTCAGAAAAGAAAAAAATCTGACAAGAAATATTGTAAACATAAGGACCATCCACTATAAAAAGAAAAAAAGAACGATACAAAAAAAAACAGAACAAGAGGCACCTGATGACACTACACTGACCAAAAAATGGAAAGTAGTTCTCAGGCAGACGAAAAAAGACTAACCTACAAAATGACCTGGTAGAATGTGTAATTTCTTAAAAGCTACCTATGATCTGAAGAGGTACGAGACACTGGTATAGTGAACCTGCTAAAGTCAGTCAGAAAGAACAGATGATAGAAGAGAGGTATAGTTTAGCTAGAAAACCCTAATATATATAATGTAATATAAAATATTGATAAATTGATCTTAATAAATGAGCGTTATACGCGCTTCTAGCAATAGAACTAAGGTATAAAAAAAAAAAAAAAAAAAACATATTTTATAAAATTTATTATAAAAATTTTTTAAAATTATTAATAAATTTTTAAATAATAAAATCTTAAAGTTTTGGTTAAAAAATTTTTATTATTAAAAATTTTTCAAGATTTTTTAAAATTTCATATATTTTAAAGATAAAAAAAAAATTATTTTTAATACAAATTCAAATTTTTATAAGTAAGTTACAAAAGTTATAATAATAAAAATTGTTATTCTTTATATAATTTATAATTTTGTATTAAGAATTATAGCTTTAAAATTAGTTTATCAAAAAAAAGTAGATAATTTTTTTGATTAAAAATTTTTTTTTAAATTGGTATATTTTTATTTTATAAGCAATTTAAAATTTTTTTCTTATAAAATAAAATTAAATACTGCTATAATATAATCTTTATTTTTAAATATTATTAAAAAAAAATTATTTAAATATTTTAAAATTTAAAAAATATAAATTATAAATATATTTATAATAATTTTTTAGACAAATTTGTCTAGAAAAGCTTATAAATTAAGAGATATTATTATCTTATTTTTTTTCACTTTGGTTGCTTTGCTAATATTTTTTATTATATCAATTTGATTAATAAACTAAAGAATATTATGGAGTCTTTTATATTAAAAAGACTTATTTTGCAATATAAACAATTTTGAGATAATTAAGTTTAATTATTTGTTTTGATTTTTGAACTGATCTGGAATTAAGTAAATTTCATGATTTTGATTAGTTAAATATAACAGATAACTATCAAGTAATCTCATGCTGTACTTAGTTTTAAACAGCTTTATACAATTTTTCTTTTATATTATTTTTATTTTTTATTATGCAAATTGTTTTTATTTATAATTAAAAAATATCAGTTATATTAATAAAAACTCATTTTTCAAAAAATTTACAAAATGGATCTTTTTAATATGAAATACCCCATATGATCATAATTTTAGATAATTATTTCTAAAGTATTTACAAGTAATTAGCTATACTGGGCCAATGAATCTACAAAAAAATATTACAATAAATTTCAAAGAAACCTGTTAAAAACTCAGAAGACTCTATCAAACTACTGCTCTATAATAGAATATCACTAATCTGATAATATCTTCTCATAGAAAAATAAAAAAAAAACAAAAAATACTAATACTAATACTAATACTAAAAGAGAAAAAAAAAACAAAAACTAATACTAAAAACAAATACAAAAAAGAAAAATAAAAAAAAAAGCAAAAGAAAATTAACAAGTTACAATTATAAGATTGTATTAGGCTTTAAAACAATATATATTATAAAATAAAAAAGCTTTGTATCTAATTCTATTCTAATAATATATATATCTATATTAGAAAATCTGAGATCATTTTTAGTATAGGTGGGTATATATAAATAATTACAAGATTATAATATATAAAACTTAACTAATTTGAGTTAAATTAAATTCTAACCTTAATTCTAACCTTAATAATTTATAAAATTACTTAAATTAGTTTAAAATATTTAATTTTTATATATTATAATTATATAATAAATATATGCCTATCTATACTAAAGATTAACCAAAATAAGATAAGAAAAAAATACTCTAAACTAAACTAAAAAAACTAGATAGAGTAGTTTAAAGTAGTTTCAAAGTATTGTTAAATAGTTTATAGAAATTGAGATATATTACTACTATATTATCCTTGATATACTGTTTTTGTATATAAAATAGTATTTCAAATCAGCCAAAATTTTTAAATTGATTAGTTGTTACATATTTTTGATAAATTTAATTAGTCAAATAAATAATTATATGTTTTTTATATTAATTTAATTAGCTAAAAAAAATTAATATTTAAATTTTATTATGTAGATAGTTAATCAACAATTATTTGATTAAAAATTTTTTAATTAATTAGTCAATTAGTTGTCAACTAGTTAGTTTTCAACTAATGATTTAAATTACTAACATAAAGCTTCTACTTAGCCTATTTTAATATACTTAACTGCAGTTTACTAGTTTATTTCTTGAATAATCTAAACTATTCTTAAATAAACAATATATTGTAAATATTTGCTTAGAAAAGTAAAAAATACTGACTGTTTTGATAAATTTATATATTGATTTTTTGGAAAAAGTAAGTTAAAATATCTATTTTTTTAACAAAATTTTCATAAAAAAAGTGATAGATCAATGAAACTTTATAGGTTTTTCTTTGTAAATTTTATAGTTGTATAGAGATAACCTAAAGTTTATAATACTTTTGGTATTAATCTAGTTATTTTGTATTTTTAAAATACTCTTCTAGTTTAGCTGCTGAATATAATAAAGGAGTCTATTAACCAAAGTTTAACCTTTACAAAACTAGTTCAAAGTAATTCACTTCTTGGTTTTATATTCTTGATATTTTATCAACAATATATTTACTTTTGTAGAACTAAGTTTATTATTTATTTTAGCATCTTCTATAATATTTTTTTATAGTTCAGCTTTTTGACTTGTTAACCAAAAAGAGTGATAGTATTATCTTCTAATATTATAGTTTATAGTATTATTTTATATTTTTAAAAGATATTTAAATTTTACCTTTTCTTCTAAGGCAAAGAAATATTAATATATGTTTTATATCTAATTTTTTAATTATTTATATCATTTTTAAGTATATTTAACCAAATTGTAAATATTTTAATAATAAATGTGTTATTACCAGTTAAGTCAAACAAAAATATTATTTGACTTAACATATAAAAGTAGTTAAGAAATGTGTTTAATTGATAATCTGTAAGTCATGTGAAGAATGTTCTTAGTATTATAAAACACAAATCACATATAAAAATCACTATAAATAAAAATGCTAAAAGTTATTTAATTTTAAAGTTTTAAAAAAAATATAGTTCTAATATAAATTTTAAACATCTGCTCATATAGTAAACAATATATAGAATTTTTTATAGTTAGCAAAATATTTTTGAAGATATTTTAGTATCTACTAGACTAATTTAGATGATCTAATCACTATTAGGTGTGTTTTAATGATCTTTATAATTTTTACTTAATAGAAAAAGGTAATTAATTTAGTAAGAAAAAAGTTTTTCTTAGACACATACTATATTTTCATCTATAGTGATTTTTATATATGATTTGTATTATATTATACTCAGAAATTTATAAACAAAATTTAGAACCAGAATAATTATATGATATTATATAAAATCTATTTACTTTAACTATTAACTAACTAATTACAATATGACTATATGATTTTATTCTGTTTCTAAGCTTTGTTTATAGAATTTTTATATTATATTAAGATTATATATACTGACAAAATTATTTTGGGATCTAAAACCCAAAATTAAAATTTGAAGATAAAATTGTTTTTGATCTATTTTACTTAAAAGATAAAATCTTTTGATACTTTTTTTGAAGAGACAAAATTATAAAGAATATAACTACCTAAATTAAATTTGCTCTTGTATATAAAAAATTCTAATTTGCTTTAATGAAGATGAAATAGGTTTTTAAAAACCTATTTCGGTGGCATGTATAATTAAGATCATTCTTTATATAACTCACAGATTATTAATTAAACAAGAAAATATAATAAATATCTAAAACTAAAATAAAATATTACTAAATAACTAAATAATAAATCAAAAATAACTAAATTTTTCAGTCGCATTTTCTGTTCGTTAACGTTATCGAATTAATATTCAACACTGGTTAGAATCGCTAATGACATTTTCCTTTATCCTTCCAGCTAAATTATGCATTATCACTGATAGTACTTAATTCATTTTATGTAATCTTAGATATAGAGTACCACATATACTTCCTCGCTTGAATAAAAAATGAAAAACATATTTAGGTTTTCAAAAGGAAGCTTCAACAGAGTATAATTATATCACACGAAATACTGTAAACGAAAGTGGCCACGATAGTTTAGTAGAAATAAATTAGTGTATCATTTTTTTTTTAGTTTAAAATAATAAATACAATATATAATTACAATCAGTAGAAAAGAAGGAAATGAATATATATGCTAAGTTTATGAAATTAATCACTATACTTCGTTGCCTTCATACATAAATTCATCAAGCGCATTAATTACTTCACTTTCATCAAAATTTATTTCAGGTTCTATGTTCTCATTGCGTAGCAAAACTGGTTCTGCAACTTTTATGTATGCTTCAATATAATTATGCCATTTGCTAAACTTGATTAGATTATTCCTAAAATTCTCCACTTTTCCACGTAGGTTCTCCTGATCCGGTTGCCAATTAAACCGATCATCAGCAAGAAAATCGATAATATATTCATCCATGTCGCTAGGTTTGATTTTATCAAGTCGTTTGATATAATGCGACACTGTCTTAGCATCGTAGTTATCGTTTTCAGTAGGATTGCTCAAGAAAAGGATGCGTCTAACAATCGGTGATTCTAAAATCCGAGGATCAAGTAAAGCGTTCCA